ATAATTTTGATGTTTTGAATTGTAGTGCGTCTTTAGATTGTATTCCTTCAATACTGACATTGTTTCGTTGCAAATTAGGCATATGGGTTTATCGTTATGAATAATAAAAAAATATTGTTCAGACCATTTGTCTTGAAATGTTCTACATTCATTGTCAATTTTTTTTATTTTACTCGTGGATGCCATGGTTTTGTACTGCAATGTTGATAATGTTATGATTTTTTAGCAAGTTACCCAATAAAATTTACCTAGTTCGTGTTGTTCCGATGTCTTGACAAACACACGCCAGATAGAATAGAAAAAAGTTAGAAAACAAAATTAGAATTGCATAAAACATTATTGCACGTGCACTTCGAACACACAAGAAGACGTCTGGTAAATTTATCATCAAAAAGCGTCAACCATAATACGATAAAGTCGAATTTTGCATGCCACCATAGAAATACCATGGGTTTCACACGATTTCGTGCCTTAGTAGCAAATTGCTGTAAGATTAGGACGATTAGGTAGAATTTTGCTTGCCTCCATAATAATAGTATGAGTGTTGCGCGACATCGTGCCTTATGAGCAAATAAATGACGTTATTTCGGTTGTAGGTGTATAAAATACGTGTACACGAAAAAACCATCCAGCTTGAGTCAGGCGGACGCGGGCCGCATTTTATGAAATTTGATTTTGAAATAAAGGGCCGTATAAAATATGATCACGGGCCGGATCCGATCCGCGGGCCGTAGGTTGCACATGTCTGGTTTAAAGCTTCTGCAGTACGTTTTGTCACTTGCCGCAGTTGAATTTCACATAAACCAATAATTCTTTCAGCTTCAAAGTAATCTTTTACTTGTAGAACAATTTCTTTAAAATACTCTAACATGTATCGACATCTGGTTATTTTCCGCTGCATCGTAACTGATTTGCGCGCGATCGAAACTTATTTTTTTTAACTGTTTCCATTTATACTTAGCACAGTGTGACAATCAGTCAAATCTTTCTCAAAGTTTTTTTTATTTTGCGATACATTTCAAACCGCAATGGGAAATATTTATACATAAATAACACATATAACATAAATGTGCTTACTGCTCAATAACAACAGTACAACCTCTATAACTGTATTGTTAGAACAATAAGGCAGTAATTAGGAGTGTTACTTGAAAGGAAGGAGACACTTACTTATTTCTTGAGTGCGCAGTTTCGTACGTAGGTATAACGTAGAGGTTGTGTTTCTTTTATCTGCTTACACCGCAATTTCACAGATCACCAGGTTCGTTTGGACCAATGTTTTCGCTGGTTTTGATATGAAGTGGACTGTATTTTTTGTTATTACAGCTTTATTGTCACCTAACACAATACAACTTACCTAGTACACTCGACAGCCTCGACATAGACGTCTGAACGAGTGTGTTTTATTAAAAATACTGGCAACATAACAATAACAAACAAACTACTCAGAAAATATTTGAGTTCGAGCGGCTTTGAATATACATAATTATAATAGTTAAACAGTAATGGAAAAATATTTGCTTTCCAAAAATTTATTAAGACATTTAAAACATATTTTATACTCATACTCATACTCAACCCATGTTACATTAACATTTTTATTTGCCTCAAAATAGTGCTTTGCCACACAAATAGGTACACCATTTTTAATACCACTTACAAACATTTGTATTGTAGTTGCGTATAATATTTTTTGCTAATATCTTCATCTTTAATTAAGTGTGGGCAATCATTGGACATTTTATCTCAACGAGATAGTGTCCAATTATGCCATCTGGGGAAGCTGCAATTATACGACATCTTGAAATATAAAGTGCACTAGATCTAATTTTTGCTTTTAATAATTTTTCTATTTCACACCTTACTGCATTTTCCAAGTCTCTACCTATTTTCATAGCACCAATGTCTGTTAACTTTGCATCCATAAGTACAGCAACTACAGAGCCTTCAGCAGTTTTACAGCGGCTAACGTCAAATGTTTTACATGCAGTTACTCTGCCATACCGTAAGCATATTTTGAAACACAGGACGCTAGAAGCATTAGACTAAATAGTGAGCTGTCATTGATTGTTTCGGAATTCGGATTAGTGGCGGGAGTTTTAAATGCATTAATGAGTACATAATTCACACGTATTGCGTAACTGTCCATAGGAGTTGTATGTAATTAGAATGTAAAGTACTCTAGCCAGAATTAAAAAACCACTAATATGTAAATAAATGACTATATATAGTCAAAAATACTTTAATGATTTTAATTCAAGAGTATAAATTATTCAATCAACATTTGAGACAGTGGCAATAACTGAAATGTTTTTTCTATCACGCGCGCTCACTATGGGACCTATAGTGTAGGGGGTTAGGTGCACGGAAAGTGTTAGATAGTACAACAGCGTGATGTTATTTTTATAGCGCAACGCTGGAGCGTTGTACTATCTAGCACTTTCAGTGCACCTAACCCCCTATGCTATAGGTCCCATAACGACTCGCACTTGTGATAGAAAATAGTATGTGCAACTCGTTCGGAAAAGTTGCCATAGCGGCACTTGGGCGCTTTCCGCACTCGCTTCGCTCGTGCGTCAACTGCGTCCGTGTGGCGCTATTGGCTACTTTCCCCACTCATTACACAATGTACTATTACTGTCCTATTTAAATTTGTACCTAAGTATTTATTTTTTTTATAAATAATTTTAAAAATGTACCTACTTACCTATTATTATGATAACTAATTGTCAGTTTTTTATTAAATTAGATAGATTAGGATTAGGAATAAGGATACATTGCTTATAAATATTGTATAAATTAAAATAGTGAATTTTTGTGTAACATTTTATTTTTTAATCCCCACGTTTAATTACTACTTATAAGAGCAACCTGGAAGAAACTTACGAGATAATTATTTAGATATACACATATATGAAATAAAAAGCAATTAGATAAATAATTAATCTAATAATTGTAATATATAATAATTAGATAAATATAATATAGAATAATAGATAAACTCCATTTCACGATAGAAAATTTATTTTGACAAGGCGACATTTGGTAAAATAGTTATTTTTATATAAATTCATTTTATGCTGGCAGATCCGCCATAAAAAATATCTACCTACAAAATAAAAGAATGAAACTTTTAAAATGTCCAAAAAAGTAATGCAAACTCAAAATACCTCTATTCTTCTCAAAAATAAATTCACAATGATAAATAATGTGACATTATGACATAAATAACAAATTTCAAATTTAATATTTCGCGATAAAAGTTTTTTAAGTAATCAACCCCGTTCTTGCTGTCGAATATCAAAATAAATTTTCTATCGTGACACAGACTGTATACAGTAACAAATACATATACTAAACATAGGTACAATAATAATTTTATTCCCATTCTATATTGTACTCTAGGTATATTCATACATATCTTCAAAATTTCTGAGTTTTTTCGCTTATTTATCTTATGAAAATGGGCCTGAACTCGCTGACGTTTCGGTAGTCCCTCTGCTACTGTCTTCTGGAGAGCTAAAAAGCTAAATGAAAAGATGTTACTAGATTATGTACAATATTCTCATTTTTTTTTAATTTCATTTATGACATTTATTTGCTTAATAATATAGAAATAATACATAATATACATACATAGTAGATACTTTTTTCCAAATGTTCTGCCTCATAGTTTCTTCTTTATTCAAATTAAAATTAGGTTTTACCATGCTTGGGCAAAATATTATGTGCCATTGTCAAGACTATTTATTTTTGATGTCGTTTCTGTGTTCTACATTTTTTCGATATGAAAAAGGTTTGTATCTTGGAGTAGTAGTCTGAATTCTTTGCAACCACCGTGCATTTAATAGAACAGGATTGGAGTTTTGAGTTTGGCCATCGATGGTGTAATACATATAAAAAAAAATAGTAACATCTAAGTACTAATGTCCATTTGCCGTAGTTTCTTCTTTATTCAAATTAAAAATAGTTTTTATCATGCTTGGACAAAATATTATGTGCCATTGTCAAGACTATTTATTTTTGATGTTTTTTCTGTCTGTTCTACGTTTTTATGATATGAAAAAAGTTTATTTCTTGGGGTAGTAGTCTGAATTCTTGGCAACCACAGTGCATTTAATAGAACAGGTTTGGAGTTTTGAGTTTGGCCGTTGATGGAGTAATACATATAAAAAAAAAATTAGTAATATCTAAGTAGTAATGTCCATTTGCCACTTACTTTTTATGAACTTCTATGATATATCCATTTATTTTTTACTAATCTCGTGCTCCATGAACTGTTTCCATATTTATTTAGAACTTGTTAAAGTTTTTATTTATACTAACGAGCACGACCATGAAGTACGGCATTCGATTGATTTGCCAAGATATTCAATTTTATATTATGCCTCCTTTTTACTTTATTCTTCACGCCACTGAATGGTCTTCCTGATGGTATCATAGTACTACCACGAGTTACTCCTGGCCTTCTTTTGGATATAGCTGTAGGCTGAACTTTAATGTTTGACTGTTTCCTAATCAAAGTTTTGGTTGGAACGTTAAGTGCTGAGTATAACTGTTGGAAATTTTTCATTTTCTGTAGTTTCTTGGTAAACTTNTCCTAGTACTACCACGAGTTACTCCTGGCCTTCTTTTGGATATAGCTGTAGGCTGAACTTTAATGTTTGACTGTTTCCTAATCAAAGTTTTGGTTGGAACGTTAAGTGCTGAGTATAACTGTTGGAAATTTTTCATTTTCTGTAGTTTCTTGGTAAACTTCTGTATCAAAGTACTTCACTGGCAAGTGCTTTAACTCTATCTAATTCCAATGATAGCTGTAAAATGGCATCATCCTTGTTTCGCTTTTCTTCGCTTGGATTTACAGATACCATTCTTGAACATCATTTTAAATAGTTATTTCGAATACTATTCCCACTGTCATGTGCATAATCCAACAATTTAATTTTGAAATATTCTTCCCAGACAAAACAAATAAAATTTACTAAAGCCACACAATTGTATCATTTTGTTCGGTGGAGAATTATATCCTTTAATATTCTTTTAGATGCTTCGGCATAATTGTTGGTGTTATTACCCCTAATGATAATGTTTTTACGGTGAACGTATAACCATTCTTGTGATATCAAATAAAATTTTTCAAAACGATTAATAAAATTAGGGAAATCTTGAGATGACTGTTTGAAGTTCAGTATCATCATATTCAATTCATCTTCTGTTTCGCTATACATAACCTATAAATGAAAGAAAAATACATATATCATCTAATGTATGTAAAATTGTATGTTCATTAAAGTACTCATATACATCTGCTGTAAATTGTTTTATAAATGTAATTCTACTGTAAACTTAAACATATACCTCTTGTAGATTTACACTACCCCCAAATTAACTACAGAACTAATCTCACCTTACGAAACAAGTTCATCAAAAACTGTCGCCTCTCTAATGGAATTCCATTTTTCTTTTCACATAACCACCTCCATTTCCTTTTGCAAAACATGGAAAAAACAGAGAAGTTGTCTTGATTGTGGATAAGCATTTGCCAATGCAGCTTTTTCAGCTTTAGAGTCATCTGTCATAAAACATGATGGTTCCTACAATTTAATTTCCATTACCTAACATACTAAATATGAATATTTCTATTAACCACAACCAGACAAAATGATACCTGTACAATGTTACTTTATTGCAGAAATAGCCCAAACCTAATATAAGAATATATGTCCATGTAGTCATTCTATCATTATGATTTTTTAAGCAATTGCATCAACTTATTACAATTTTTATAGAATATTCACCGAAAATTTAACTATTAACTCTTTTGATACACAAGGCATGTGTAACAAAATTGTTTTATATGTACTAATATTAAACAAAGTCAACCATACTACTTTGTAAAGTAGGTACCTGATTAAATAAAAACACAATTTTTTGTTACAGTAATACCACACCCTACAAAGCCAACCACCTGTTCTGCATGCTATGCCTATATAATGAATAACAACACCAGTTTTGGACACACATACTGGATACTTACAAATTTCTAATATTTTCTCCTTATTTTTGTATGTTGTGTTGTTTGATTTTGAGTGGTTGCTAGAAAATGTCAAAAATTAAAAATTATATATTATTTCCACAACATGAGTCATTTTTCTGTAATTCATCTAAACACCATTGCATTCTTATCTAATCATTTCCAGATAACACAAACATATTTTTAATTATATATTTGCATTGTGGTTTTATGCATTTTCTTCATTCATAAATGTTACTCATTTTTTAGTTATTCATTTTCAGAGTACCTATATACTTGGATTGTTAAAAAAATATATTTGCTTACCGTATTCCCCCCAAAACAATAGGGAAATGCTTTCTTTAACAAATCATAGGCCTGCTCATAACTAGCTATAGACTGTCCATCATGTAAAAGAACAGCTATTGGAATAGCACCTGCTTTGGTAACCGTTAGCAAAATAGTAACAGTAGTTTCAGTACTGTCGCAACTGGAAGTACTATCACAAAATATAATCTCTTTAGAAGAATTCAACTGCTGCGCTCTTTGCATTATTGGAGTAACTACTGCTACTGCCCAAGGATTTGTTGCCAATACCACTTTCATTCCTGTTAAAAAATAATATTTATTACTTGATATTGTTTTACTAATAATTGAATTAAAAAAATATAAAATTTGACTTCTCAATGGGGAGAAGCTCAAAGAAATGAACAATTTCATACTATTTTCTAAATAATCAATATAACAGTATTAAAAACCACTACAGTATGCATATAAACTCACCTCTCGTTTCATAAAACGTAAGTTTCTCTTGCAATTTTGGGATAGGTTCAAAAACTGCTCCATAATTTTTCAATGTCCATTGCCTGTGTAGATAATATACAACATTTTTCGTGGGATTAATTGAAGCATTTGCTAACTTCTCCCATGGCTTCTCATTAAACATTAACATGCTTTCGTGATAGCGAAAAGCCTCAGAAGCACTCATTCCATTGTCAAAATACTGTTCAAATATTTGCTTCGTCTACAATATCAAAAAATAAATTCAATTATAAATAAAATTCATACAATACCTATATTTATCATAAACAAAGTGACAGAAATCACACCTTACCTCATTAGACATTTTCAAATATTTTAGAGAACCACTTGTTCCTATAGTATGGTTATGTATTATATCTATCTTAATTTTTCCACAGAGTGCTGGTTTCAGTTTCAAATATTTGTCATTTCTTTTCGTAGCCGGAGTACATTTTTTTATGACTATATCTAGTTTTGCAGTACAGCCTGTGTTAAATTCGGTTTTATGAGCACTACACTTCTTATTTACAGCACTATGTTGGCACATATAGTATTTATGATAAACGACCCTGTAATACGAAAGAAATATTTAGAATATTAGTAGTCGGGATACTGTTTCGAGTACCTAAATACTTATGTTTACATACCTTTCTGGATTTGCCAACTCCCCATTTCTTATCCACTTCGTTAATGTATGTGCTTCAAACAAGTTTAAATAACTATCAGCTTCGTTACTATCATTAATATTTATACGCAAAATAAAATATTTTTCGTTGGTTTCTTCTAATTCACAATGATAACCACTTATTCGTGTAAAACTTAAAATATCCTCGTAGTTCATAATTATTGAATAATCACAACTTAATAAATACCTAGAATAAAATAGAGCCTCACAGCGTATTTTATGTAATAAAATGGTTTTTATCTGAACGTGAATAGGAATAATATTCACTTGTAAATATACTGAACACACATAAAACGCGCCAAATCGGCATAAGATTTGCAAATCGATAAGAAGTTTGGTTAAGTGTTTTGGTCTAAACAAACCTTACTCGTGCGGCGCCGGCGTAGAACCAACACTGTACGATTACGAATTGACCAATTAGGCATCGTTTTATAAAGCTATGCTTCTAGCGTCCTGTTTCAAAATATGCATACCGTAACTCATACCATAGTCTAGTGTTGAGGCTGATTTCTATCTTTTAAATTTTGATAGATGTATCACGACTCTTGCATTTAACTTTAAACTTTATATTTAAATGCATAATCCATAAATAACTACAATATTTGAACTTTACAAACTTATAATGACGGATTCAAACAATGAGTGTGATTTCTTCACCGCGCTGTTGCCGGTTGTATATTATTTTTCTTATTCTAGGGATTTTACAAAAATGAACATAATAATTGAGGTTGGGCTTAAAGCTAGTTTTATATTGGTTCCTTTTTTTCTTTTTCAACTGCAGCCCACATCGAAGAAGTAAATAAACTTGCCATATGCTGAAGAAACTTATTACTATCAAAATCACATTGATTTATAAATTCTAAAATTAAATTATCCAGAGAAAGCCTTCTTAAATTATTTATTTGACAATTAAGCCCATGTTTTAATATTTGGTAGTTTAATTTGCTATTTTTTGCTTTAGCTATAAAATCTTATGACGCACTCAATCTTTCTTTTGGTCTGCTTTTCTTTGTTAAATCTTGTGCAGTTATGTACCTGTTAGAAGTGCCAACTTTTGCTAAGTTGGATTTTCTCCAGTAGCACTCTATGGAAGTACAGGCAAGTTCTTCGCTTCTCAGATATACCCACATCATGAAAGCGACAGCATGCTTGCAGCCTCCTTCTGAAGCTGTCACGGTCATGGCAACTTTATGTTCTAGGCAAATCAAATCTGGCATTTTATGATACACACATTGCCTTCTCTTTTTAACTGTACTTGCCCTATTGTCCCTTCCTTCATAGTCATAACACTATCTTGAAGATCTATTGGAAACAATGTAAAAATGTGTTAAAATTGTCTTTATGAATTAAACAAATCAAGAAGTTCAAGAACTTCTTGATTTGTACGTTTCTGCAATAATCAACAAATAAATATTGGTTCCTTGTTTAGGAAGATTTATATCGCATAAATTTTAGTAGGGTGAAGTGGGGCAAGTGTACTCAAAAAAATGATAGTTGCATTTTAAACTTTTATAACAAGAAAACCATAAGAGATATCGGGTTCGTTTTTTTGTAGAACAGGGCTTATTTCATTGTTAAATCGATGTCGTATTTATTTATTTTTTTACTTGCCTTGGATTTTTTATATAAGCAAAAATAAAAAATCATGCTGTCTGATTACGCTTGCCCCGGCTAATGGGGGAAGTGTAATCAGGGCTCGTAACTGCCATATACTTACTGTGTGTATGGATCTGGGGCAAGGGTAATATAGTATGAAAATGTTTTTCTTAACACGCCAAAAATGAGCTGGATATCTTAATATATAAGGAAGTTATAAACTTTTTTGTGGGGCAATTATAAGCAATAAAACGCAAATATGTTTGTTAAAAAAGTATATTTGTAGGTATTTGAGCGAACCAGAAGGTGAAATGGAATATTTTTTATTTTACGTTATATGAGCTAAAGGATACTGGAAAAATTAGTTCTCCTCTTCGCCCTAAAATGGGTTCTGGTAAAACTAGCTCTATATCTGATGCAGGCACTGTGTGATGGTCCTCTAGTTCAGGCCAGTGAAAAACTGAATTATGCGAGTTTGGGTTTGATTTTTTTAAAAACATGACGATAGGTTGCAATTCTTCATCGAGCACCGTAATTTGACCAACATAGAAAATTATGTTTTTCTTTCCTTTAAATGAGACCAGAACCCAGCTTCCAACTCTAAGGTTTTCTAACCCTTTGAGTAACAATTCGTCTTCTTTTAATGCTTTTTCTTCTTTATCTAACCTTTTTGCATAAGCTTCAAACGTGGCTTCGTCCGATTCACTATCACTTAAAATTGGTGGTTCGTCTTCATCTGAAGAGCTCGATACAATAGTATTTCTTGCCGTTTTTATTTTTGATTCATTCTTTGCCTTTTTTGCTAAATCTTTTGATTTCTTTGCCTCGTCTTTTGATTTTCTTTCGTCTTCTTTTTCTTGCTTAGCCTTTTTTATTTTTTCTATGTTTTCCTTTGCTGTTATAATTTCTGCCCCCGGAGCTACCCTTTTTCTTCTTTCCTTTTCGTTAGGGCGGGGCGATTGTCTCACAGTATCAAGCAACAATTCTTCAAAAGATACACATCTGTTACTTGGCCCCGCAACTGGTTCTAGTCGGGGTTCTGGTGCTGACTGCTGCAAGGTTGGTTGCTCTCTCGATGTCTCTTCATGGCTGCTTGTGCTTGGCTCATTAAGAGGTTCTTGTGTGGCAGGTTCGCGACTTCTCAAACGTTCTTCATATCTTCGTAGAGCTTCTGGATCATATTTACTGCGGTCAATGACAGATCTATTAAAAGGGCATATTCCTCCTTTACGAAAGCCTGATGTCAGTAAAGCTGGATCTGTGTCTTTCCAAATTGTACCCACAAGTATTGAAAAATCTTTCTTTGGAATTTTCACACCCACATGTTTTCTTTGGTACTCTGCTAATTTTGAATCCCACCGTGACTTAAGACTCTTAAAGACAGCTAAGTCCATGGGCTGTAATAGGTGGCTGGAGTGTGGAGGTAATTTAAGTATAATTATATCATTTTTAACGGCCGCCTCGATAAGTTTCTGGTCTAAGTGCGTTGAATGTCCATCATACAAAAGTAGGATTGGTCTTTCAGGTACTACGTTGGGAATAAAAGTTTTTGTAAAATAGTTTACGAAGATTTCAGTTTCCATCCAACCATTTGACGAAGCAGCATAAGAAGTGCCTGGAAATGTGGATTCATCAGGAGCCATCCATGCATCCCATATATTTTTTCCTTTGAAAACAATTAATGGTGGAAGTTTATCCCCATTCGCGTTACCACCCATGAGAACAGTAGTACTCTCTCTTCCGGGTCCGGTGGTTATTCTTGAAGCAGGTGCATTTTTCTGACCAACAATTTTAGTCTTACTTGGATCGAGCGTAAAACTAGTTTCGTCGATGTTATAAATTTGAGAAGGCTTATTTTGCAGATTGTATCTTTCCAGGGTTTCTTCTAATATGTGAAAATATTGTTCAATCACAAATGGATCATTGGCTTTTTTTCGGGCATACTCCAGTCCTTGTGGCTTTTTTAAAGACAGCCTGTGCCTTTGTTTAAAGGCTAAGAACCAGTCCTCTCCAGGGATTCCATCTCTAAATGGCGTTTTTATATTATTTTTCTTAACAAACTTTCCCACTAACTCTATGATTTCCTTTCTGCTCAGCCCCCAACCCCACTTCTCCATGGTTTTTATGGCATTCACTAATTTTTCTTCTTCAGCTACAGGTATTGCAGTAGGTCTTCCTTTGGACGTGCTTTTTGATCCTCGGGTTCCTCGTAGATGTTTTTGAAGAGTAGAAAATGGGATTTGATACCTCCGGGCAGCACTACGAATACTGATACCGCTTTGTTGGATGTTTCTAAGCGCATCTTTTAATAGTTCAGCACTGTAAGAAGGGTCTGTTTTTTTCTTATACACTCTCACCATTTTGAATAAGGAACTCACTAGGAAGTGTATAAAATTTAGTCTGATATTTAGGTAGGTTGGTATTTTAAAGATTTTAACACTGTTTTTATAGTTTACTTTAGTCTTTGGTAAGTAATTACACTATTTTTGGTTCATACACTTCTCTTACTAGCATGTAACAATAAAGAAGATAGAAGGTTATATACTAAAAAGTCAAGAAGGAGGAGCCTGGGGCAAATGTAATCAGTGATTACATTTACCCCAGTCTCGCGATTACACTTACCCCATACGCGCATTTCCCTGGGGTAAATGTAATCACTGGTATAACATTTTTTGTTATTATCCAGATCCAAATCTGACAGCAGAAACAGATTCCTTGTTGAAAATTACCTAAGGGAGCAAAATATTACAACTACATAATAATATTTGCGGTTGTAAAAAAGAGATGAAAATCGCAAAAGACACTCACAGAATTAGTATAAATGCAGACAAAAAATAAAATAAATAGTGAATACCTTGAAACTGGAACTAAAAGTGGTTAAGAAAAAGTAATGTCGGTATAAAAAGGGTAATATTTTCGAATTTTGAATAAAAAACTTCCAAAATGGTATAAAAAAAATTACAAAGGGCCTGATTACACATGCCCCATGATTACATTTACCCTACTTACAAAGATGTTTCAACATTTCTGAATTCCACCAAGTTAAGATCTGGTGTGCAGTTGAAATACTGTGCAACCATAATCCCATCTACTCTAGGTAGCAAACTACTGTTATGCTACGTACAGACGTGGATATTAAAATGTCGACATTTGTGTCTAGATCAGTCTACGACGTGATCACACTAAGTAGTAATTTGTGTGCTTAGAGCAGTGTATAGAGCTCTTCAGTAGACTGTTTACACTTGTATTTCTACACTTATCTATCGTGTATTCACACGGAAGAAATCAGACACTTGAGACAGTTTTTAATCATGTCGCGAACAAAACGTTGTTTAACGGCCGCAGTGGTCATTAACTGTATTATAAAAAACCGAAGGAGGAAACAAACAAGAAGATGATGGATTAAAGAGTGAATAGCAAGGAGAAGTAGCCTAGGCTACTAGTATTTTGTCATCCTAGGATCATATTCAAAGTTAAGGATTCCTAACGGCCGTCTCAGCTTCTCAATACTTCGTGAAATTACGTCAACTTCAAACAGAAAATTCAGAGTAATTAGGGGAGACTCGGGCAAGAAGAACCACCTAACTTTAAAAATCAATCAAAATCACATAATTCAATCCAAAATTTTGAAAAAATTTAATTAAAATAATACGATTGATACATTACAAAATATCTTTATTAAAATGTAATAACAAAATCGAATATTCTATAAAAAAATAAAAAAATAAAAGACTACTTTGGTTCTTTTTGCCCAAAGATACCGGGCATAATGAACCACTGCTAAGGGCAAAAGTAACCATAACTTATAATACATACTATGGGCAAGAGGAACAATGTATAGAACTATTGTGACATGTTATTTAAGTTTATTTATAACAGAAGACTTGCAGTTGTCACATATGTATACACCGGATTTGTAATCAGTACATAACTGATGAGCCCAATTCTGGCAAAAATTGCATTTTACCCAGTACTCACCCGGTGCAGAGTTGCCATAGGTATCATCACAGACAAGACACGGCACATTTTCATTTGAAGGGTCAAGTTGTTCTTCTGGAGGTTTTGGATATATCAACTCGCATTGCTTGTTTGATGCCTTGGTCTTGGTCACTTTTTTTGTATTTGTCATATCGGAAGGCAACTTTGTCTTAATCTTAATTCTTTTAATACTTTCGTTTCTAAGCTCTTCTTTTATAGGAGTCGAAGTTAACATTTCGGATTTTTGGGTTTTGCGTTTCCTTTGGGATTCGTTGCGTTCTACACGTGGCAGTGGATTAATTTCAGCGATTGGAGTAAATGACTTTTTTTTTGGTTGATAATAGGAACAAGATGGAATGGGCGAAATGGCTCTTGGTTGTTCAACGGAACGAGATTTGCTTATTTCATTTGGGCATAAAATTATTGGTGAACCTGGAGTATGATGATCTACAGAACTTCGGTTGACATGTTTGGTTTCCAAAGATTTGTTAAACAATGGAGGAGTTTTCTGCTTCTTGTCACTAGAAGTATTGGGATTATCACTTTCTTTTCAGCATGATGCTATCGGAACGTCAGAATAATTATCCACTTGTTGTTCATTGTCTTGCAATTTATCAGTTACCAACGATGGTGCAAAGTCTAT